TCGGGAATCTAAAACAGCATACATTAATCTTTTGCAGTACCTTTCTACATTGCAAACGAACTGCACAATTCACGTCTCTGGGCTTCAAAATCTTCAATTTTGGTTCGTCTAAGGTCGCGAGGCAGTCATTGGAAGACGCTACGCCAATACTGGTTCGACACCAATGCAGTCTGCAAACTCAAAAGTAATAAAATAAGAAAAAATTCAACTAAAATAAAAAATGATGGTGTGCATATAATTAAATATAGTGTAATTAAAATATGTTGAAGTCAACTAAGCCTTATCATGAATGTCAAATTGGCAAGTCATAAATCAAAACCCAGAAATCAGAATACGACAATAACATTGTATACAGAATCAAAATCTGCACCTTCAAAATAATGGAGAAACGAATCACGGCCCTTTTATTCTGTTTCCTGCTATTACAAATTTCACCCACACACTCCAACACAGTATGCATAATCGGCAGTGGCATCGGCGGCGCCTCCGTGGCGCATTTCCTCCGCCAATACTCCGCCGCCTACCACTCGTCCCAGTCCCCAATTGCTCAAATCAACATGTTCGAGCGAAAAGGCGTCGTTGGTGGACGCATGGCCACCGTGACAATTGCTGGCGAGACCTTTGAGGCCGGTGCCTCCATTCTGCATCCCAAGAATTACCACGCCGTGAATTACACCAAATATCTTGGCCTTCAATTGAAGAAGCCGAAGTCGAGCGACGATTCTCTCTCCTTGGGTATCTGGGATGGCCATAAATTTGTCTATAAAACATTCAACTCGAAGTCAAAGCTACCAATTGTTCAACGCTTGGTGTCACTTGCAAATTCGATTATGATGTTTTTGCGATACGGATTTTCTCTCTTTCGTATGAGTAGCTTCGTCGAGGTATTAAACCAATTGTCGTGTTTAATTTATTCAAACCAGTTACATGTGGGTGGGTACCTCTGGGGTAGCAAAAGTTACCATTTTTGAAGGGTTAAACTTTAAAGCATAACGCCTTGTTGTTATCCTTGCTTTAGGAAGAAGGAAATTTTGTATGGAATTATTTGTATTTGACTATTGAAGCATCTCCCATCCGCCAAATATATAGGAACACGGCAATACATGGTATAACAATTCTATGCTGAATATTTTGAAGTAAAAACAACATATTGGTGCAGTTTAGTTGCTTAGGAAACAAGTGGTTTATCTGGCTTGCTGTATATTATGACGTTGTACTTACTGCAGAATTGAAGTAAATTATTTTGTTGCCGATTTACACTTTACCTCTTATCCTTCTGATTTATTGGAACTAATATTCTATGAGTAGATATATCTTAAAATATTTATTTACATGTCCTTGTACATAAATTTGTTTTGTATGTGTGTATTGCTCGTGGTGTGGCTATGTTTGGATAGTATTTCACATATGAGAAAACTTCTCTACATGATTTTTTGAGTTTGGCAACACGGGAAATGCTGTGATGTTATTAATAGTGCAGTGTGTAATGGTTTTGTTTTGGTGATATGATGGTATAAATGTTTGTAGGTGGCAGTGAATAACTTTTTGAGGTATTACGAAGGTTTCAACTCCCGTCCTGTGTTTGAGAGTGTGGAGGAGATGCTTAAATGGGCAGGACTGTACAATCTGACAACACGGAGACTTGGAGAGGAATTAGTGGAAGCAGGGTTGTCTCCTCTACTCATTCAAGAGCTTGTCACGGTGAGATACTGTTTCTCATATTATAATTTCATATGTTTTAAGTAATTTGTTTATGCATGGTATTACTCAGTTCATTATGTTCTACGACTACTTTTTCTTTCAACTGTTCATGATGAACTCAGACCTTAATAGGTTTCCCTCTGCTGGTCAGTA